AAAATTAATAATGAAGTGTCAGGGTCTCTCTGTCTCCTTTCCAAACCACAGGCAGCATGACACAGGAAAGGCTGTGCTTTCTCACCCCCCAGCAGCCTCCTGCGCCACTCAGAAAGGCCGGGTCTGTCACAGCCCCTGAACGGGTTGAGAAGCTGCAGGCAGGGGAGCCACTCTGCGTGCCCCCAGGACACTAGCAAGTTCAATACACTCCATCTACGTGAATCCTAGAAGAGATGGAAGAGTGAGCAAATCAGAAATATTGACACTCACACTTTTTAAAATGGCTTAAAGGATGATTATTTGCACTATGAAATTAGTGACAAGTTTCATTTTGAAGATTTCCCAGATACATTCAAGTTGAAGGATTTCTTCAAATCAATGGAGAAAGAATGATTATTTGAAGCCAAAATTGGCATAAAATTCTGGACATTTTCCTTGTAATACCCAAGTGGCTGCTCTCAGGAAAGGGCTTCAAAATATATAATCACCAGGAATCCAATAACCCGGAAAACTGGACCTAATCAACTGTTTCTACAAAAAGAAAAAAAAGTATCTCAGAATCTCCACATTTAGTATAAGAATTTATTTAGAAAAATCTATTTTGCTGTTTTTTAATTTTTGTAGCCACATAAGAAAAACAGGTATTATTATTTGGGCATTTTTTTTTCTATGAATACACACAGAAGCTTTAAAAGTCTGCAAACTGATTCTGTACCCTGAAAGCAGCATGATGCAACATAACGAGAAAAAAAAACAAAACAAAACAAGAATTAGAAAAGCTTCATACTATTAACCATGCTGCATCTAACCACCTGTATGACACTGAGTAAGTGAACTCTCCAGGCTACGGGCTACTTCTATAAAAATGACCTCTAGGCTCCCTTCTAATTTTAACGTCTGATGAGAGTAATTTAACATTTTTAAAAGACAAGCTTTTCTAAGAAAAAAATCACAGATTTGTGCAAACACAAAACATTTTAAACAAAATTAGCTTTCTAAAAGGACTAATTTTAACTACTCATAAATTGGGGAATAATTGAGTTTTTTAAATAAAATTAACACTGTTTGAGCAATGTAAATTAAGAAACTTAAGCCCCAGCCAAGTAGTTCAGTTGGTTAGGGAACGGATTTAACATACCAAGGTTTCAGGTTCAATCCCTGGTCAGGGCACATAAGAATCACCCAATGAATGCAGAAAGAAGTACAATGACAAGCAGATGTCTCCCCTCTTCCCTCCCAGTGAAACTTAAAATGGTGGGTTATATGATAAATTCATCTTTCACTGTTTCTCCCTATGTTTAAGTCTGAGAACCACAGTTAAGATTCACTGATTTTTCAACACCAAAGTATTTGTCAATGAAGAAAAATATGTTTGCAATAAATCATTTGCCCTACATCTGAAGTAGTTATAGCTCTTAAAATAAGATTTTATTATTTTAGTAGTTCACTCTTAAAAGTATATCAGAAAACCATTTCTAATTATTCACCACTGTCCTAACAATATATTACAGCTAACGGTATGAAGGGAAGATGATTGAATACAGCGATGTTTCTTCTACAGCTTAAGCTTGACTGTCATTCTGAGCACTAAAAAAACTCAGCAAGAAAATGAACTGAAAAGATAGGTCACAGAAGGCCAAGCTCTGTCCATAACACTTTTCCTTAAAAGGCGATGAAGAGGAAAAGACTACTCCAAACATTTAAAACTTAAAGATTTAATCATCTTCCAAGAGCAAAAGGTGAATATCAAAGTTTGTTTTCTATAAAACTATGTTTCAACCAGAAACAACTAATGTTACTACAATGTAACCATTCATGTCCTACCTATGTATCGTGCATACTCATTTAATCCACACAAATATCCTCTGGTGCACATGCTGTTTTATTACCCCATTTTAGAGATGGAAAAACATTTTGAGGCTTTTATACAAGTGTAGTGACTTGCTCAAAGTTATACAGCTCTTAGGATGCAGGACCCCGGCTCAAGAGGGACCTAACTGACTCTTAAGCTCCTGCTTTAACCCATTATCTCTAGTTAAAGTTTAAACTCCTCTTTCTAAGTGATGTCACTAGTCCTTCCTGATAGGTTTCATCAATCTAGGACGGGGGCCTTGAAAGGAGTAAAGCTCTAATTTAAATAACTCTTCTGCATCTAAGCATAGCAGAAAACTCTGAACCTTCACTCTAACCTCTAAAACAAAAGTCTCCTGAAATGCCAACCCCATCATAAATTTTAAGATGTCAATCTTTTGGTCCATGCTTCATCTCCATTCCTAAGTTACATTGGAAAACATGGTTGGGAAGGAAGAGGATTATTCCCCAACTTAAAATTCCAAGTTTCTTAGTTTGGCAACAATACTGTGCTTTGGGACTTTAAAATTATAACCATGGTTCCCAGAGGAAAACACTTCCTTTATTAGCAACTAACTGGCTATGAAAATTCCATTCTATGATTCTAAATATAACAAAATACCTCTGACTTTCATAATAAACACATTCTCCAGTGAGAATTAGATTATTTTGAAACTAGTGATTGTCTGCTAATTTACAAGACAATTGTGCCACATCAGTTAAGCAACTGTAACATTTTAAAAAATCTTTCAAATTTGTTCCAGTTCTTTTAACAAATTGACCTGATATTGTTTTCTGAATTCTTCCATGAAATAAACGGGTTTCCATTTTGCAATTTATTTCCCTAAAAAGATACTTTTTTAGTTATTCCTAATTTTCTTTGGTTCTAACAAGAATATTGGCACAGCCAAAATCATGAAAGTAGGTTTTTCAACCTATAAAACAAATCAATATTTTTTTAAACTCTACAAACACATTCACCAAAGGTAAATAAAACATTTCACAGTTCTTAAAATGTATTTTCATTTTAAAATCCCATGCATAATTCATAGATACAGTGATGGACTGAGGGGCTTGTTCAGGGCTAATAGACTACATCAGGCTTTTAACAGAATAAGGTAACTGCCGTGTTTCAGGAAGCAACAAGCACTTAGTGGACCTCACAACCCCCGGGCATTCTGTCATTGTGTAAGTGGTTTAAGCGCAGTGGTAAAAAATTAAGGTACCTTTAGCTGGACAGCTCCTCATGTCCTCCCAACCCAAAACATGGGATGAGAAAGTATTTAAGAATCAACAGGCACTTTTTCATTTTTCTTCTCTTTTCTTTTTTTTTTTTCCTTAAGAGATATTTGTAGGGTTTTGGGAAGGGTCTATTTTTGTTTTTTACTTTATTGAATTTACTGGGGTGACCTTGTCCAGAACTTTTTCTTTGAAAGATGAGTCCAAGAAGTTTTGGATGCAGAGGATAAAGACTTTGTTTCACTTTGTAATCTAGTGGAGGTTTTCTGTGTGTATGGTTTTGTTCTGCTTTTACCAGTAAGTATGTCTAGTTATTACAAGTAGTTAGCTTTTTAAGAATACAGCACACTAGCGCTCATACCTTCTTTTTTCTCCCTCTTCTCATAGAAAGTCCCATTAACAAGTCTGACCTGCCACCCTTAAACAGGGCTTTATAGCCTTCAAACATCTGAATACTCACCAACAGGGTGGGGACAGAGCTCTTCCAGCCCCAACCAGTGTTTTAATAGAAAGATTAGAGACTGCTAAGTAACATGTCTTCACAAGCAACTCCTAAGCTTGCACAGAAGCCCTAAATTTTCTCCAAAATATATTATAAAAATCAATACGAAGAGTTCTCCTTGGATGATACACTGTCTAAAGCAACAACAATAGAGTTGTTTAAAACCCAAAACAGTCTTTCATCTAAAACAACCCTCCTGCTGTCTTTACACCCCTTCACCAAATCGGACTTCCTTCCTTCCTGATGTTTCTCTAGTATTGCTTTCCTCCAGCTATCAAATCATGCAAACTACATAGGTGGGTACTCTTGGCCTATGTATGGGCAACAAGGATTGATGGGAACAGGTGTTCATCAGCTCCAGCCAAATGTTAATCAAGTGGGAGAATAATGGCAGATCTTCCAATTATACAATATAAGCAAGAAATTCAGACTGTTAGAAGAAATCTTGTTTTTAAAACAACGCGTGGACCAAAGAAAACATCTGCAGTCACCAAGTTAACCAATCTCTTTCATTCTGATACTGGTTCCCTCAGTCCATTCTACACAACACTCCAGGTCAATTTACCAACTACAGTCCTCCTAAACACTGCTAACTCGAGACTCAAAATACTACCATGAAGTCCCAACCCTCATGCTGTCATTCAACATCCACAGTATCACAACCACTCTCCCTTCACTTTCTTCAACTCCCCTACACAAACCTTTCATTTCAATGAAGAGTCTACTCCCGTTATCACTGACCCCCCCCAACCAGCATCCCCTCCAAGATGGCCTCTTTTTTATCCTCCTCCTCTACCCCATCAATGCCCACACTTAAAGCAGGCAACAAACCCATCTACTTGGAGTATACTTTCCAATACCTGCTGATTACGTGAGTCAAGAGACCTTTCTGTTTAGAGTCAACGGATTTCACTTTCAAGAAGGGATTTAAATCTACGAGACAAACCCCAAGGCCTTGTCTTAATACACCCCGCCAAAAAATTTAGGGGGGTGCGGAGGCCCTAAGTCGGGCACAGAAAAGTCGTATCCCCTACCTGAGAAGGCTCTGCGGGGTCTCGACGCATTTACACCTAGGAAGGCCTTGGGAGGTAAGGGACCGGAGGGTGACCCCTAACCAGCACTGCAAGACTGGCAGCGGTGCGCATCCCCGCGCGCTCCTTCCTGCGTCGCCGAGATACCACCCCCAATCGGACCTCAGAGCCGCGTCCCCGGGAACCCCGACTTGCTGACCCCTGACAAGCGCTCCGCGGGGGTCCCGCATGCAAGGACCCTCGCGCTATCCAGGCCCGGTGCCGTGGTCGCCTGCCACAAAGGGTCAAAGAGCTAGACGACCCCTTCGCGCGTGCCCCATGCAGACCTCTGGGAGGCGCCGCTGCCCTGTCTGTGCCCACCCGCAGACTGCCTCTACCTTGTCCTCGGGCGGCGCGTCCGGCTCGCGGACCGCCCTAAGCCTCAGTTCGTTCATGCTGGAGACTCCAGGGCAACGTTGCCGCAGACGAGCAGCGGAGCCACCGGAGCAGCCTGCTCAGCGCGGGCACGCGCGGACTCCGCTTGGCCAGCCCCGCCCAGCCAGAGCAGAGCACAGCTCCGCAGCAGCTCGCAGGCCCAACAGCAGCCCAGCAGCCAGCCCCGGACCTTGGCCCCGCCCCGCGGCACCACCGCCCTTTCACCGGGGCGGAGCTCGGTGAGCTTCCGACAGTCCCGGCTTGCTCGCTCCCTCTCTGGGCAGGGCCTGGGAGCGAGCGCGCACGCGCACCGCCCCAGGAGACCTACCAATGGCAAGAAGGCGCCAGGGAGGCGGGGAAGGGGGCGGAGCGGAATAAATAGACTCGCAACGAACTGTAACGTAAGGGGGCGGGGAAAGGCGTGCGATTCCAGGACAAACTAGCCAATGAGAGCTCCGACTATAGCTCGGATGGCCTACATTGACACCCTGGGACTTTTGTACCAGATACAGCCTAAGTACTTGTTGAATGGATTTAAATTTTCTCCTAAAGGAAATGATTTCACCAATTTCTCGTAACCAGAAAGTGCCCACTAAGAATTAGAACACATCTGTTTCGTACCGAAACCCACACTAACCTATGTTTCTCAAGCTTCGCTGTCAGCCGTTCTTATTTGTTGTCTTGTAAGTGATGTAAAACAAGCATAAAATGAGGTTCCTTCCCTTAAGCGCACTGTAACTTAACAAGGAAAGAAACTTGCACACATACAAGTTGCAATTTCGTATAGGCAATTTTACCTGAATTGTTGGTTTTTGGGGAAATAGAATTCTGAGAAGGGCATTATATTTTCTTGATTTCTGTTAAGAGTATATTTCCAAGTTCCTTAACAGTGTTTCACAGTAAGAGTAAAATAGATGTAGAGGAACACTGAACTTAAGAGTATGCTTTGTTTCATGTTAACAAAATTACACAAATACTTATTTGCGGTCTTTGGAGAAACAGATCACTCCCTGCAGGCCAAATTTATTTACAGAAAGCTTTGCTTTTTGTGTTTTATCTTGTCTTTTGTTTTAATATTATTTGTAAAAGTAAATATACTGATGCTAATTTTAAAACTCAATCTATTGAGGACTGTGTAACCACCATTTCGACTGTTCGGTGGCCACTTCTTGATCTAAACACTAAACACCTCTTGGGTAAATTAAACAAGGTTTATTGTCTACAGAACCTAGCTCTGGCTAGGTAGCTCCAAGTAATTCAGTTGGTTAGAGCATCATCCTGATATGCAAAGGTTGCAGGTTCAATCCCTAGTCAGGGCACATACAAGAATCAACCAATGAATGCATAAAATATGGAACAATAAATTGATGTCTCTCTCTCTCTTTTCTTTCTTCTCACTCTCTAAAATCATACCAATGAATCAAACTGGTGACCTTTCGCCAATAATAACTACCAATAAAATAAAATTCTCCCAGTAATAACTTTTTTAAAAGGCCCTAGTCAAGGGGTTCAATTGGTTGGAGCACTGTCCCATACACCAAAAGTTTGCAGGTTCAATTGCTGGTCAGGGCACATACCTAGGGTGCAGGTTTGATCCCCAGCAGGGTGCATACTGGAGGCCACCAATCAATGTTTCTCTCTCTCCACCCCCTTCCTTCCTCCCTCCTTCCCTTCCTCTCTCTCATAAACCAATAATTTTTTTTAAATCCCAGAAAGAGGATTAAAAAAATAAACAACCTAGAAGGATATGAACACAGAGAGCAACATAAGATCACCCTGACTTTTAGAGTACATAATTGTACAAGGTCGTATCTGGTGAGCGAGTATCACATCAGTCCTTTCAAACCCAGCCTAATACAAAGGAGGTTGAAGAACCAGTTCATGTAGATCAGAGTTTCAGAATACACAGTATGATGCTGTTTATGCACTGGTTCATTTATTCTTGTATGTGCCCTGACCAGGATCAAACCCACAACCTTGGCATATGGGATGACATTCTAACCAATTTTATACCAACCCCTGATATAAAGAACTTATACAACTCAATAGCAAAAAAATCCAATTAAAAAATGAGCATAAGATCAAAATAGACATTTTTCCAAAGAACTACAGTTGGCCAACAGGCACATGAAAAGATGCTCAATGTCATTATTCAACAGAAAAATACAAATCAAAGCCACAATGTGCTATTACCTCACGCCTGTTAGAATAGCTGTTAACAAAAAGACAAGAAATAAGTGTCAGGGAGGATGTGGAGAAAAGGGAACCCTTGTACACTGTTGGTGAGAATGTAAACTGGTGCAGCCACTATGAGAAACAGTATGGAAGTTCCTGAAAAAGTTAAAAATAGAACTATCAAATGATTCAGCAATTCTACTTCTGGGTATTTACCCAAAGAAAACAAAAACATTAACTCAAAATGATATCTGAACCCCTTTTTTCACTGCAGCATTATTTACAACAGTCAAGATATAGAAACAACCTGTGTCCATTAACAGATGATTGGATAAAGAAATGTAGTACATATGTCCAGTGGAATATTATTCAGCCATAAAAATTTGTGACAACCCTGGCTGGTGTTGCTCAGTGGATTGACTGCTGGGCCTGTGAACAAAAAGGTCGTCAGTTTCATTCCAATCAGGACACATGCCTGGGTTGCAGACCAGGTCCCAGCTGGGAGCATACAAGAGCCAACTGGCTGATGTTTTCCTTGCACATCGATGTTCCTCGTCCTCTTCCTCTCTTTCTCCTTCCCTTTCCTTCTCTCTAAAAACAAATAAATTGAATCTTTAAAAAAATTTTTGTGACAACATGGATGGACCTCAAACACAGAAAGACAAACACTGCATGATATCTCTTAGATGTGGAATCAAACACACAAAAAACCAAGGTCATAAATACAAGAGAACAGATTGATGGTTGCCAGAGGCAGTGGGAAAGAGAGGTGGGGGGCGGAAATTGGTGTGTACTGTTTTTCGTTTTTAATTTAAATAAATTGAATTAAAATTTTTTAATAAAAAACACTTACAAATGGGTGACAGAGACTTGGAAGAAATTCGAGACAATAGAGTAGCACTGCTGAGAATGCTGCATTATCAGCATCCCTGATAAGAGAGAATGAAATGATACAGAAAAACAACATCAGCCACTGAGTGGAAAATTAAATATAAAAAAAATATTAGGAAAGCCTTCACTAGTTAATTTTGTTTATATGTATATATTTTTAAATATAGATTGTCTTTATTCTTACATTTTTAATTATTTTATCCTCACCCGAGGACATGCTTATTGATTTTAGAGAGAGGGGAAGAAAGGGAGAAAGAGAGGGTAACATTGACGTGAGAGAGAAACATGGTTGCCTCTTACATGTGCCCTGGCCAGGGACCAAACCCATAACCCAGGCTCATGCCCCAAGCAGGGGATTAAAACAGCAGCCTTTCAGTTTATGGGACAACGCTTCAACGAACTAAGCCACACCACTGTTTATGTATTTTAATGTGTGTACAGGAGTAATATATGATACAAATATTTTTTATTTTATTTGTTTATTTATAGAGAAAGGGGAAGAGAGGGAGAGAAACATCAATATGTGGTTGCCTTTCACGGACCCCACCTAACCGGGGACCCGGCCCTCAATCCAGGCATGTGCCCTGACTGGGAATGGAACCTGTGACCCTCTGATTCGCAGTCCGGCACTCAACCCACTGAACCACACCACCCAGGGCTGTATATTTTTAAGTTTTTGATATATTCTTCTTTAATGTGCTACATAAAATAATAGCACACTTTACAACGGAAAGAATTCCTCTTAAATTCAGTGAAATAGATGTATCCAATAGAAGTGCCAGAGGGAGAGAATAGAGTAGGGAAAAGGCAATATTTGAAGCTGTAATGGTTGAGAATATTCCAGACTTGAGGAAATGCATGAATCTTCTGATTCAGGAACGTGAAATTCACTGAACATAATAAATAAAGCTAAATCCACACCTATATACATAAAAAACTAAAGAATTCTACAGTCCAAGATAGAATATCAAATGCAACTAAGTGGAAATTCTTTGAATACAAAAGAGAAATAACAAAATCAGGGGAAGAATATATACTGAGAAAATGATTACTATATAAAGTGCCCCTTTTAATCAATAAGAAAAAGAAGTTTAATGGAAAAATAGAAACATGCAATGGTCAAGAAATGTGAAAAAATGTACAACCTATAACTTTTTAATATGCAAATCAAATTTTCACACAATCGAGCACTGATTTAACATTGAGATTGCTAATATCGATAGTTGGAAAAATCAGAGGAAATGATCATGCTCATAGTCTTAGCTGGAATGTAAATTGAAATCTTTTAGAGCTCAATTGAGTGACATTAATCAAATATTTAATGCGTATGCTCTTCCAGCCAGCAATGCTAGTTCAAGGAGTTGATTCACAAAAACCACTTAAGTGCTCAAAGGTGTTTGCAATTACAAGAAATTGGTAAATTAAGTTACAAATGTAAGATACGTGTATACCTCATTTATTGCGCTTTGACTTATTGGGCCCAAAGGTGTGGTGATTTTTTACAAATTGAAGGCAAGACCCTCCGTGCGCTAGCGAAAACATCACAACTCTCTTTACAGCCTCTCTCTACTTTTATTGCGGTGGTTTGGAAAGAACCGCACTATCTCTAAAGTATGCTTGGTACGCCTTCTTTTTAAAAGTTTTTTAAAAGGTACTCACATAGAAAACGCGTACATGGCATAAAATAAATATATTTTACTAAGTACTCTGCAGAAGTGTTTGCGGTATGAACCCATTTTCGTCTTCAAAAAATATTTGCATAGGAAAAAAAGCTTACAATGCTGTATACAGAAACGATTGGTAGGAACTTGGCGTGTGGGGGGGTGCATGTCAAGAGATGGCGGTGAGAGCTAATTTTGTTTCATAACTGTACACCTCTTTATCTTTTGACTTTTAGAAACGTGTCACTTCCACAAAAAATAAAGTGAGCACTTAAAGCAATTCTCTTCAGGCTACAAGGTGGCTTTCCCTCCCGATAGTCTTGATTTGTTTCACTTTTACTCTCGGGTCTGGCAACTCTCCACCCTCAAAGCGGGAAGTTGAGGAGGTACCACAAACCTGGAGCTCGAGACGCCAGGCCTGGGGCTCACTAACGCCCAGACTCGTCTAGCATTCAGACTCCGTTACGTGACGAAAAAAAATAGTTCTGCCAAACGCCTTCCCGCCCGCCCCCGGAAAACTCAGCGTTCCCATATTGCCCAGGTCCCTCATAATCCAATGGGTGTTCATGGGGGGCGGGCCTAGCGGGGATAAAGCATAGGATTGGGCCTGGCTCTCTACCCAACTATGGGCGGGGCAGCGTAGTGACGTCTGGTCACGGGGCGTAAGGACGGAGAGCTCGCGCTCGCCGACTCGTCGATATTACACGGTTGCTGACTGAACGCTGTGGTAATCTTTCTTTAGCTCGGGTGCTTCCCGCTCGCTCTCATTCTGTGAAGCGTAAGCCGACTACACCTCCTTCCCTTCGTCTCTAGCTGCGTCGTTGCCACTCCGCCGCCATGTTCGAAGCGCGCCTGGTCCAGGGCTCCATCCTGAAAAAGGTGCTGGAGGCGCTTAAAGATCTCATCAATGAGGCCTGCTGGGACATCAGCTCGAGCGGCGTCAATCTGCAGAGCATGGACTCGTCCCACGTGTCTCTGGTGCAGCTCACCCTGCGCTCCGAGGGATTCGACACGTACCGCTGCGATCGCAACCTGGCCATGGGTGTGAACCTCACCAGGTTAGCCCGGGGCGTTGGGGGAACCAGGCCCTGGTCCGCTCACTCTCTTTCTCGGCTCTTGGCGGGAGCTCCTCCGAGGCGGGGCCTCATTGGCTGGTGTGGGCCACCGCGCCTTCTCGTTGGCCGGCTGTGCCCGGGGGGCGGGACGTAGCGGGGCGCGCGCTTCCAAAAGCCCGCGCTTGCTGCAGCGCGAACCCGCCTTTTCCGCGCCAAAGTCTCAAAGCCGGGGCGGGGGGGGGGGGTGGCGGGAAAATAACTGGCTTGTCGGGAAAACACTCACAGAGCACTTTCGGTCATTAGATGCCGGCGGCCTTGGTTGAGAAACCTTGGTCATGGATGACTTTAACTGCTTTACGGTGTTCCCCGCTCTTAGGGACAGTAGGCTGCTTCCGGCCTTTTATTACAAAGTTGCATTGAGCACTTTTTGGACTTGAGGGAATATTTCTCCAGGGCAGTGGGTTTCAACTTTTTGATTACTGTCTAGTACGTATACATGTTTCAATCTTTAAAAACTTAAGGGAAATATTTACCCGTACTACGTGCATTGTATTTTCACAGGTGTTACCTTTTTAATGGGCCTCGCGGCCTAATAATTTCCTCAATCACTAAAGGGGTTTGCAGTTCAGAAAATACTTTTGTTGAGTTGTCCTGATAGCCAGGGTTGTGGGTTCTGTCTCCAGTCAGGGCACGTACAAGAACCAACCAATGAATGCGTAAATAAGTGGAACAACAAATTGGTCTCTTGCTCTCAAATCAGTTTTTAGAACTTAAAAGGAAATACTGCTCTTTTATTTTATCTTCAGACGTGGAATTGCTGGTGGTAGGGTGTGAGCTTTTTGGCTTAAGTACTTAATGCCAGATTGCTTTCCCAAATGGCTGGACCGGTTACACACCTGTAGCAGGTTTACCTAATTTGCCAGTTCATCAGACAGCCTAATGGCTAAAAGTGGTAACTCCTTGTTTTAACTGCTTAGAAATCTAACAGTCTTCAGAAGATAGTGTCGATTTTAAACCCTGTGTCTTCTCTTCTAGCATGTCCAAAATACTAAAATGTGCTGGCAATGAAGACATCATTACCCTAAGGGCTGAAGATAATGCGGACACATTGGCACTAGTATTTGAAGCCCCAAGTAGGTTATAATCTACTGAGTTATGCTGCAGAAAATTAAACTGCAGCATCATTAACATTTGTAATACTTATAAAACTTATTTCATAGTTATAAGTTTACATGCTTTTATTCAACAATATTTGCTTTCTTTTGGTAGATCAAGAAAAGGTTTCAGACTATGAAATGAAGTTAATGGATTTAGATGTTGAACAACTTGGAATTCCAGTGAGTACCAGTTTCTGACTGAGTGTACTGTACATGATAGTTACCTAAAATCTGTTAGACTACAGTACTCCAAAAATTGGATCATTCATTGGTTGACTTTATTGTTGTCGAGTGCATATTTACATTTGGGCATCTTATTTCTAGAATTCTTGTTGTTTTTTTTTTTTATTGAGTGGATTGTAGAGCTATGGTGGCAGAAATTTATTAGGTTAAGTTTATCAGCATTAAAGGAGAGAAGTATTGTTGTAATGTTTAAAATGCCTTTAAATTAATGCACTATTAAGGAATATGTTTTGTTTTGGAAAGCAGGTAGGCCTGCTCGCCCGTCAGAGTTCCTATACCATACTCTAATGTCCTCTAGATTAGCCTGGGGGCTTGATTTGCAGAGGCTCTAGTTCCCTAGATATTACTGTTCAAGGTTTAAATTAGTTTTCTTAGTGTGATTATTCTTATAACATACTTCTTTTAGGTCTGTATTTATTATTTTGAATGGTTGGAGTGTAAGTCACACAATAGTGATATTTCAACATAATTAAAAACCTGAGAATTTTGAGTTCCCGTTTAGATGCTGAATCTTCAGAAAGTGAGGGCACCACCCTTGCTTGTGTGACTCATTGGATTAAATGCTGGTCTGCAAACCAAAGGGTCGCCAGTTCAATTCCCAGTTAGGGCACATGCCTGGGTTGTAGGTGAGGTCCCCGGGAGGGGGCACACAAGAGGCAACCACACACTGATGTTTCTCTCCCTCTCTTTCTCCCTTTCCCTCTCTCTAAAAATAAATAAAAAAATTTTTTTAAGGTGAGGGTACCTACTAAACCTTTCATTTTCAGTAACTGATTTTTACGTTTTTGTTTTGTTTTGTTTCATAGGAACAAGAGTATAGCTGTGTAGTAAAGATGCCTTCTGGTGAATTTGCACGTATATGCCGAGATCTCAGTCATATTGGAGATGCTGTTGTAATTTCCTGTGCAAAAGATGGAGTGAAATTTTCTGCAAGTGGGGAACTTGGAAATGGAAATATCAAGTTGTCGCAAACAAGTAATGTCGATAAAGAAGAGGAAGCTGTAAGTAGTTTTTAAAGTAAACAAACTACTTTGAAGAGAATTGTAATACTGCTTAATGATAGGTTGTAAGTCTGTTTGGGCTGTTATAACAAAATACCATAAACTGGTGGCTTATAAGAAGTAGACACAGTGTGTAGCAAGATAATTGCTAAAAATTACAGGAAACTAAGGAAAAAATAGACAAAATTGCATTGTTAAAATTTGTGAGCAGAGGATGCAAGTTCAGTGCTTCCTTTGTAAATCACAAAACAGTGTGTTTGTATCAGACCCACACATACTCTGAGGATTGGATTGGGAACCTAGGTGTCTAACTTTTAGCTTTCTGGAGGTGTTTACTCTGCTTGTACCAAATAACTGCGCATAGGACACCTCAACAGAAGAATCTAGTTAGTAAAAATCTAGCTGTTGTGAGCTCTGGTGTAATCTACATTTAACAAGAAAATAATACTTGTAATTCCTAAATATTGTTACATTAAGGTCCTGTAATCAAGCAGGTTTTCTTTCTTTTTTTTTTTCTTTAGATTCTTAGAATATTTTTAAACTAATATTTGGTAATTGTACCAAAAGAAAACTTTATTTCCTAGCCTGTGAACATCAGTTGACTATAAAAATAACAACTAAAGGGCCTAATAACCTCACAGGATTATTAGGGTTAAATATGGTAATATTCAAAATGTTTAATACAGCAGTTGGCTTATTTAAGTTTATAGTAATTAGATATTATTTTCTTGTCCCTTGCTTGAGTAATCAACCCATCATTTAAAGGTAAACTCAATTTTTTTTTAATTCAGTGCCCAACAGTACGGCTGATAATATGTAAGAAAAGGTTTGTTTTTTACTACTAATTTATTTCGTTTATTTTATGTAAAATATTGCCACACTAAATGAACATGTTGTATATACAACTGAGATAGGCTCATAACCATAATTCTAATGCACAGCATGGTAATGTACATTCACATATTCTTTTTGCAATGTGAATTTAATAATATGTTATAGATTCTTTGAAATTAGCAGGAAGGTTCTGTAGATGTTTTGAATAAAGACTTTTAAAAAATGATACTAACAACAAAAGCCTGGGGGCTAAATCCAACCTTTATCTGCTTCCTAAATTACATTTCAATCCCCATCAAAATTCAGTTTTTTTTAATCTCTTAACGTTAGTTCAGTATATGCGCATGTGCGTGTGTGTGAAATTGATTATAGAAAGTGGGGGGGCTGATTTGTTGATCCACTTCCTCATTCATTGGTTGATTCTTGAGTGTGCCCTGATCTGGAATCAAACCTGCAATGTTAGCATATTGGGGCAACACTCTTAAGTCAGGGGTGTGAAACTCATTTTCACCAGGGGCACATAAGCCTCGAGGTTGCTTTCAAAGGGCTAACATAATTTTAGGACTGTATAAATGTAACTACTCCTTAACTGTTAAGGACTTGAAATTACATTCAGCCCTTTGAAGGCAACCACAAGACTGATGCGGCCCCTGGTGAAAATGAGTTTGAAACTCCTGCTCTAAGTGAACTACCTGACCTTTTAGTGTTCCCACTTCCTTGGTCATGTCAGAACTGTTTGAATTGAAATTTTAAGAAGGTTCATAAATTGCATTGCAGTTGGTTGATATAACTCTTAAATTTCTGTCAGTCAGTTGGTTTTCTTCAGTTTGTTTTTGCCTCTCCATTACAATTTCACTTTTTTAAAGAAACTAGGTCATTTATCACTGAGTTTCCCACAGTCTGGATTTTGCCAGCTGCATTTCTTATATCAATTTGTTCCTGTACCTTATATTTCCTATAAACTAATAATGATAGCTCTTGAGTCTTGGTGACATTCAGGTCCTTTGTGTTGGTGGTGAGAGAGCAAGATTACATAACACATGGTAGTTTGTACTCCTAGTAGGAGTCATGAGGTATCTGAATACCTTGTCATTTTAGCACCCATAATAGTCATGTCTAGATTCACTAAGTCATTAGGTTCTGCACAGTTGTAAAATATTTATACATATGTACTATGTATGTATGTATGTATGTATATTTCATTCTTCATTTATTAGCTGGTTTACATACTAGAAATATTTTCATAAAGAGAAGCTCTTATCACATAATTGGTTACCTGAGATTTAGTTCAACTAATGGGTTGTAACTTGATGTTTTTTCTATATGATGAATCTTCTATTTTCTCCCTTAGGTCAACATAGAGATGAATGAGCCAGTTCAGCTAACTTTTGCACTGAGGTATCTGAACTTCTTTACAAAAGCTACTCCACTCTCTCCTACAGTAACGCTCAGTATGTCTGCAGATGTGCCCCTTGGTAAGATAATAAATTTGTTGAGTCTTTTTTGTTGGTTTTTTTGTAGGTAATGTATGTGGTATGTCTCAATAATTAACTATGTTCTTGTCTTCCAGTTGTAGAGTATAAAATTGCTGATATGGGACATTTAAAGTACTACCTGGCTCCCAAGATTGAGGATGAAGAAGGATCTTAGGCGTTTCCAAAGTCCCAAGAAAATAAAACTTAAGCTCTTCAGGAACTGCTTCTGAGATTCCAACATGCCCTTAAAAGTCTCTTCTGTTACCAAATTTGTACCTGAGTACATATGTAGATAATGTTCTGTGTAAATAACCTATTTTTCTTCATTCTCTACAATTTAAAATGTAGTCTCAAGTCAGATCTGATCTTAACAACCTAGAACTACTGCTGTATCTAGAAATATTCTTTAGGATTTTTATAAGAAAGGGTTTTAACTATTAGTGCAGTTTTAAGAATTGTATTTTCAATTTAAATAAAAGTTATTTGAATTTCAAACATCAGAGGACAGTGCCTTCATTTGAACCAAGTCACAAGTATTCTAGCAAATTCACAGCTAATGCTATCTTGTATAAATGTGTTTGGGTTTTGTTTTGTTTTTCAGTCTAGAGCAGCCAGGTATAAAAAAAATTAGAGCCATAAAAAGTACTTCAAATGCAGTGGGTGATAAGATATTTTGGAGGATTCATTTGCCAAACTTACTTTCGTGTTCTTTAGGTCAAGAAATGAATTGGGAAAATACAACATATATTTCATTATATTTCACTATTTTGTTGTGCTGTTAGTGAAAACCACCTCAAAGATTTTATGAGACTAGCATTTGTTACAGGGCAGAGTTGCTTGGCCGTAGGGATTTTTTTTACAAGAATCTTTGAAGTTTTACTAGATCTGTGATAGAGCCCAAGGAATATGTTTTTGCAAAAAATAAATTCATTCGGTATAAATAGCCTTATTTGGGGCTTTGATCCCTTAAAAGGTGAAGATATGTTAAATCTCATGAACGGTGGAATCAACCAGGAAAGTGAAAAGGCCCAGCTGTTGTGAAATAAAGGTTTTTTAAACATTCCCAGTAATTGTGCTACAAGTTCACAAATAGGCATTTTACATACAGAGAATTGCTTTTATTACACTTTGTTTTCCTGTTGTACTTTGTGTTTGGTGAACTAAACGCCTGGTTTCCTTGTTGTACCTGGACTGAGTTCTAGTTACTGTACTTTAGAAGTAACTATACACCAGGTAATTTAACCTGTGTGCCTGGGAGGAAGGAGGTTTGCAGCAAAGAGGTGCAATGGAATTTTAGGGATAACAATATTTTATCTAGACTGGTGATAGTTCCAAGACTGTATTTGTTAAACCTCATCCAATTGTACTTTATATAAATTATACCTTAATAAATCTTACATTTAAAAAACTTTGACGTGCCCTGTTCAGGTACCTCGGGTGGACAGTGTGCAGATATAGACGCATGCCAAGGTGTGGGTTCAGAGGGTTACCATTGGGGAAAACCGATGGCTGCATATGTGGGTGGGGCGATGGGTCTCAGTTGCCCTCTAAAGAATCGATTTTTAAAAGCCTCACGTGTGGCAAAATGTCCCAAGTGGGCGAGCCTCTAAACTGGGCAAGGACTGATGGAGAAGGAAAGAAGCACAAGAGTTGGCCACTCAGAAGCATAATTGCGGGGGTAATGGCTGGGAAAGATTGCGGCGTTCCCGCATGGAAAGCTAGCTACTCAGCAATAGACCTGTTGCCCCCACCCCCCAGTCCGAGGGGCTCGGCTTCCACTTCCTGCTGGGAGCTACTGCGCTCACTGCACTGCCTAAGGGGTCAGGAAAAGAAACAGTCGGCGCATCCAGGCCCATACTAAGACCCAGGGGGGGTGGGCACCCTAGAGGCCGAGGTGGCAGGCAGCCAGCCCTGCGCCTCCCGAAAACGCTGTCTCCCTGGTGCTGCTTGCACCAAGGCAGGGCTGAAAAAAACGTTTCCTGCCAGCTGGATGAAAGGTGGCGCTCCCGTGACGCTATTTTCGTTTTGTCGCCTTTTCTTACGCAATTTCCGACTCTTCAGACTCTGAGCTGGTCTGGGCGGGGTGGGGAGGGTGACAGTTATGTTGAGGCATGCCTAGAGCGTCTCTGCTTCCAACTGCGAGCAAGCTGTTGGCGGCGCGCGGACCACCTGGTGCAGCGCTCAGGTAAGCGGTGCCAACGGTAGGGCGGGCGCGGAAGTGACCCTTCAGACTCACGGCCTGGCGGGGACCACGCTCCCCACCCAAGTCGAGCCCGGAGTCCTCCATGTGGAGTGTTCATCCGCTTCGGCAAGGCTGACCTCTTTCCAGAAACCAGTTTTGTTTGTTTTCGGTCTAAATTTGCATCGGTTCTTCCTTCTCTTCCTGGCGAGGTCTGGAGACAGGCAGGAAAGTAGTGTGTGTGCGGACACGTAGGGCCAGGCACTGTGCTAAGAGATGCTGATTATTTAAAAATTCTTGCAACATTTAGGTGCAGGGGGCCTTTGGAGGTTGCCGTGGAGCTGGGAAAAAAGCCTGTTGGAACTTTTAAAATATCGATTTCCATACTTTCTTTCCCCTCTTTTAGAATTCTCATTCCTTGCCACCAATAAGCCTTCCCCTCCACTCTCCTTCATGCCCTGCGCTTTTTTGTTTTGATGGAGGTGTGTGAATAGTTAACGGCAGAGTCCACAAACTTGTTTTTAAAAAGACTAATACAAATCAGAGGTGATTAAGTGCCATTGTAAATCCCCTCATAGAGATAGTTTGGACTTTAAGTTTTATAGAATTAAATTTATATTGCCAAGTAATCAGATCGCAACATTTGAAAACCTAGTATTTGCAGTGACTGGCGTGGCTCAGGGGGTTGGGCATCTTCCGGCAAACCGAAAGGTCCTTGAGTTTGATTCCTGATCAGGGCACTTACCTGGGTTATGAGCCAGGTCCTCGGTTGGGGGCGTGAGAAAGGCAACTGATGTTTCTCCCCCTCTCTTCCTCCTCCTCTCTAAAAGTACTTAAATTAAAAAAAAACAAACAAACTAGTATTTCACTCAGTTTAATCTAGTCCTTTGTTTTAAAAAATAGGCCAAAATGGAGTCACTTTTGCTAAGCCATATCACCAAACCAAAACTTAATAAATAACCTATTGCAGTTTCATCCCCATGTTTCTGCCTATTAAAACCTTCCAATTTCTGCAACACCTCAGCACTACCTTTCAGTTGCTAGATGGGATGCCGCCTGATTCATCAGTCGAATAATAAAACCAATTAGATTTTCAAATTTACTTCGTTGAGTTTTGTTCTTTAACACCTTTTAGGATGATGTATAAGTTAGCATGCTCTTTCTTCAATACTTGGTATCTGAACCACTAATTACTAAAAAGAGACATGAGCATCTAGCACCAATTCCTTTATAATGCTGGTTATTTTAGTTTGAGTGCAGGCCATTCAAAATAAGTCATTAATATATGGGATTCAGTCCACCTAATCAGCACTAACTGCAGTTGTATAATGATGATTATTTGTAAAATGTTATACCAGAGGAAAGCCATTCTTTGTTTTTTGTTTTTGTTCTCCTTATTGAAATACTTAATTTTCTCTTTTAAAAGGTATGTTTCATTTTTAGAAATCAAAAGGCTTCATGATCAAAATAGATTTACTATTTTTTATACAACTGGTTTTATGGAGGAAAATGCACAACATATTTTTAATTTGAAATCATTTTTAATGTTCCAATTACAGCTGACATACATTATTATATAGTTCCAGTTGTATACCCCAGTAATTAGACATTTCCAAGTAATTAGAATTTACTAAGTAATCATCCCAATAAATCTTGCACCAATCTGACATTATACATAATTATTGAAATATTATTGACTAAGTTCCCTATGCTGTACTTTACCTCCCCAAGTTGTTCTGTAACAACAATTTGTATTAATACTACTTAATCCCTTCACCTTTTTCACCCATCCACCAGCCCCTCTCCCATCTGGCAACTGTCAAAATGTTCTCTGTCCCCGTGACTATGACTCTTTCTGTTTTGCTTGTTTATTTTGTTTTTAAGATTCAATTGTTAATATGTATTTGTTGCCATTTTATTGCCCATATTTTTATTGTTTGTATTTTTCATCTTTTTTTCTTCTTAAAGAAGACCCTTTAACATTTCAAATACTATTGGTTTGGTGGTGAACTCCTTTAGCTTTCTCTTGTCTGGGAAGCTCTTTTTTTTTTTAGATTTTATTTACTTATTTTTAGAGAGAGGGGAAGGGAGGAAAAGGGGCAGAGAAACATCAACGTGTGGTTGCCTCTTGCACGCCCTCTACTGGAGCCCTGACCTGCAACCCAGACATGTACCCTGGCTGGGGACAGAACCAGCAACCCTTTGGTTTGTAGGCTGGCGCTCAATCCACTGAGCCACACCAGCCTGGGCTAGTTGCTTTATTATTTTTTTTCCTAGCGTTTTGTTCTGTTCTTTCATTTGCCATGTTACTTTGTCTTCTCATTTTGGCAGACAGCCTGTGTTTGCTTCTAAGTATTAGGTAGAGCTGCTGCGTCTCCCAGGCTTGGTAGGGTTGCCTAATGTAGTAGGTGTCCTGTAGGGTCCAGTGGCACAGCCTCCCCATTCACCCAAACTGGGCACTCAAAGTGTGACCCTCCTGTGGGCTAAGTACACCCTCCTCTTGTACTTGAGCCTTGATTGCTGTTGGCATGTCAGTGGGGGGGATTTACCTCCAAGCTGATCGGTTGCAAGGACTGGCAGTGACTACCCATCACCATGGAAAGCATCTGTGCAGGGGCCCCCTCCGCAGAGCGGTACTTACTTCAGTGGGTCTCTGGTGCCCACTGAGTCTGCCCCTTGAGTGTGTCACTTATGGAGATGGTTGGGTGGTGGTGCTTCACGTGGTCTGACGCTGTCCACTGAGTGCACAGGGTCTGGGACCTCCTGGGAGGTGCAAGCCCAGGTCAGCCACCACCTGTGTTCTGCCTGGGGCCACTCAGCATGAGCTACAAAGAAATCTGCAGATGACTGCTACTTGTGCTGGGCTTGGAGGTGCAGACGTGAGGCCAAGCTGTGAACCGAGGCCTGTGAATCCATCGGGGAAATAGGCAAAATGTTGATGTAAATGTTATTCCTCACCCTTTCTATCCTTCCTCCCTGGCACATAAGAGAGTCACTTGAGTATATGCTACTTTTGCTTTTTTCTGAAGCAGGGAAAAGAGGCAAACAGTACTATGGACTTTGGTGTCAGATGAACCTGGATTTAAATTGACACTTTCCACCCTGTGTAACTTTGGAAAAATTAGAAGGCAGGGTAACATTGGAGGCAAGATAAACATGACTTCTGGTTTTCGGCCAATGTCTTGACTCTCTTTCTGCCAGGGCAGACTAGAGTGGATATATAATGAGAACACATTCACTCTGTCAAAAGAATTTGGGTTCTAAGATCAGTGGAGCCTAAACTGCTGGTTGCTATTATGTCCTCACAGCCCAGATCTCCAATACACTGCATCTAAGAGGCCTAAATTCATTGGCTAGGAAACAGCATTGCAGTATTGCTTGCAGACAATAACAGTTTTCTTTGTTTTCAGCCTGTAGCTGTGTCAGCGTGTATGATGCCATCTCGCACTAACCTGGCTACTGGAATCCCCAGTAGTAAAGTGAAATACTCAAGGCTCTCTAGCACAGATGATGGCTACATTGACCTTCAGGTAAGGGCACAAAGGAGCTGGAGAGAGTGGCTGGCTCTGTTTCTGATGAATTAGCAGGAAATTCTTCCAGGTGGAGGTTTTGCTAACTGTCCCCAGGGATTAGAGGGAGCAGCAGGAAAGAAACCCAACTCCTTTCAGCCATAGCTGCAGGAGGAGGGGCCGTGGTGGAGCTGTTTCAAACCAGTGTAAATACTGCTCCTTTCTAAGAATGTTTGGTTGTAGCATCAGGGCCCAGCAATTGCAAATTTTATTTAGTTTACCTGAGAAAGAATCAGATTGTGTTGTGTTAGGTAGAGTTTCTTTAAGGGCTGTGTCATGGGTTTGCTTAGAATTTAGTCAAAGCCAGTTCATCTGTTAAGGGAAAAACTAACTGCTAAAGCCAGGACATTGTGGAAATCTTCCTTTTTTCCTGATGTCATGAGATCCAACTTATTAAAGGTATTCCTTGTCACAAACAGTAAGTAAAATAGAGTATTTATTAAGTTTGTGTTGTACCCTAATCATTTTTTTAAAAATACTTGATGGCGTAGCATCTCCTTTTGCCCCTTTCTCCTTAGAGCAGAGTATTTTAGGTGGAACCAGGCCCAAGGAGGAAGTTGCAGGAGCCATCCTTTTAAATATAAACAAATCAATTATACTTTGTGCTCTTTGGACCCATACTTGAAGGACAGAGATTTGTTTTTTTTAAGCACACCTGGAAAGCTTCTAGACAGTTAGCTCAGATACAACCATGACCCAGACCTTAGAAAGTTTGTTTTTGAATCTTAACCTTGAATTGAACTTGTTAATAAGGCAGGTTACTTGCTCCATGGGGCAGGCAACCAATGCTTTAAAAAAACTGTTTCTAAAACTTCTGACTGTATGCTGACCTAACTTTGAAAGCCAGAAATCACTTATTTTCTTCTCTAGAGCATGATGTTCAGTCTTGAATCCCTGTAGATTAGAACAGCCTTCCATGGGCCGGGCACTTAACAAATACATGTCTAATCAATGAATAACCATAAAGCATCTTTTTATTTGTAGGAAAATAGTTTTTTATGTCTGTGGAAGGAAACTAGAACTAGAAAGAATAACATTCTGCTGCGACTCCTTGGTAGAGAAATAACTAGAGCTTCACCCCCGGCCTTTCTCCCCCAGAGCCGCAATGGGTGGTGGGAGTTACTTCAAGACACATGAAGCATTCAGATTAGTTCTTATTTTCCTCCCTGCTTTAAAGTATCTGAGCACTGGTGTTGTCATAATGCTCTTCCTTGTTTTTTTCTCTGTTTCTCTTCCAGTTTAAGAAAAGCCCTCCTAAGATCCCATATAAGGCCATTGCACTCGCTACAGTGCTGTTTTTGATTGGCACCTTTCTCATTATCATAGGCTCCCTGCTGCTGGCAGGCTACATCAGCAAAGGGGTAAGCTGGAGGGTTTGTGGGAAGTTGCCATGAGATCTTTGAAATGTGAACCGTGGCTCTATTGTTTTATATTTGTATCTACAGCAGATTCCAGCAGGAAGAAGGAAAGGATTTGGATTAGTTTTGGTTTTTTTAAGACTTTATTCTGTGCTAACAAAACATGTGTTTCTTCCTTTGAACAACAACAAACTTCTCCCACAGTTCCTCCGAGGTAGGTGGTGGCAGGTCCGCAAATTTTCCCTCTGAGATGGGCCTTTTCCTTGCTCTCAGAGTTCAGAACAGCAAAGCTGCGCCTGGCATCAAGGACTCCTGAATGGTAGAGCCTCTGAATGGAGTTGTGCGCTATCATTGTGGCTTTGCAGTGCTACAGAACGTACTAGTCTGTTTGGTGAGGCTTATGAAAATCTGGGACCACTGACCAAGCCAGGCCTTTTGTCCCGGAGCCTTCTTATATTGGGTTTGGTTGCAGTTCTTTTTGGGCTTCATTGTGATACTTCAGAAACCTGACGTGGTGTTTGGCAGTTCTTGGGCTACATACAGACACTTAAACAGTGTCTAAGTTGTTTTGAACTGGTATTGATCATAATTCATGTTCTTCAACACACACCAGGCATCTGGGGGCATGATTTTTGGCCTTGGCAATAGTAGCAATGTCATAATAAATGGCTATTTATGGGTTTTAAGAAATATATCTAATTTACCTTAGTCCTTAAGTATTTAAAACAAGTATGTGGTGACCAGAAGTTTACTTGGTGTGTAGTCTAAATTTGAACACCTGACTTCAGGACCGTGCCTTCAGTTAATTTTTGATTGCATTATGCAGCGTAAATCCCAACAGTGTAGTAGAAAGTCTACTTGTGATAGAGCTTTTGGCTTTTGGGTCAGAGGAGGCAAAAGTGCAGCTTTCTTCGGTCATCCTGAATCCAGGTTCATCCACCATGAGCCACCTCCAGCACTCCGCTGAAATTGGACCCCACAGACCCAGAGGTGCCCCAGTGGGGAAGTAGGCGCCACATCTGCCCTGGGTCCCTGGCTCGGCCTCCCGGGTCTGTTTTCATTTCTAGGTCTTTTCCATGATGGAATCAGGAAACAGGTATCTTTTAGAAAACAAGGGAAAAGAATATATAGATATAAGGAGAGAGATACCATATAGATATAAAAATATGGGTATTTCTAATGCAGATATATTTTAGAGATTTTATTTTATTTTTTAGAGAGGGGAAGGGAGAGAGAAAGAGAGGGAGAGAAACATCAGTGTGTGGTTGCCTCTCACACACCCCACACCAGGGACCTGGCCCGCAACCCAGGCATGTGCCCTGACTGGGAATCAAACCAGTGACCCCCTGATTCACAGGCTGGTACTCCACCACTGAGCCACACCAGCCAGGGTGGTAAAGCGAATTTAAGATTAGAGTTTTTATATGAGTGTGTCTATCCTAGTGATATTTGTATGATTACTTGCCTTATTCTCTATATAATTGCTTCAGAGTAACAATAGCAGTATTAAATGCTAAATATAGGAAGGCTGAATGCACAGTAAGTTTTCTTTGTGAGTCTTTGAATCCTTAGGATATATGTCCTTAGGGATATAGTCAAAATCCTTTGAAAAATAAAAGGAGAAAAGTAGAAAATATAAAACACGATAACAGACATTGCACCAAGCATGTTCAATTGTGAGAGTTGTAGACTTTATCTTCTTTATTTTCAAATAGTTCATCTTTGGCCTGAGGGAGCCCCCTTCAATTTCTCTTTCCTTGTGTTTAAAGGAGATTTATAGATTGAGTTTAGTTCTTTGGGTGAAGGAAATTTTTCTAAACTTACAAACAATGGAAAAAGTCACAAAGAAAAGGAAGATAAGCCCTGGCTGGTGTAGCTCAGTGGACTGAGCTCGGGCCTGCGAACCAAAGCATCGAGGTTCCATTCCCAGTCAGGGCACATGCCTGGGTTGCAGGCCAGTTCCCAGTTGGGGGACACATGAGAGGCAACCATACACAGATATTTCTCTCCCTTTCTCCTTTTCTTCTCCTCTAAATATAAATGAATAAAATCTTTAAAGAAAAGAAAAAGGAAGATAAGTTAAACTATAAAACATTTAAAACTGTATATAAAAAGGCCAAGACAGACAAAGCAGTTTTGTAAAGGTGAAGTCATTCAGCACATTTATTGAGCCTCTGTTATATGCTGGGCACAGCTGGGGATACAGGGATGAACAAAGTCCCGGTCCTAAAGTGGAAGCCCTACTGATAAAAGAGACCAAACACCATTCCTTTGTCTTTGACCTATGAATCATGCTCACGGGATGAGGAAATAATCTGAAAGGCCAAGGAAAACACTGAAGTTAGTGTGGTATTCTCTGTACAGTCACAAAAAGTGAGAGACAACTAAAATATCCAGCAGTCTGGGGTGGGGAGTGGGGTTAAGTAAAACTGGTACATCCATTACAGTGGAATGCTACACACCGTTAGTTGACATCTGTTAGTTCTGGTCAGGCACAGCATGACCCGCACCCATGTGACCTGTGCCATTGCTGCAGCCACTGCGGAGGTGTCCTCAACAAAATGAAGCTCATCATCCTGGACCACTATTCTCAGGCTGGTGAGTGGGCTGCCAAATACATCAAGAACTGCATCATCGAATTTAACCCACGACCAGACAAGTACTTTACCCTGCGGCTCCCCACTGGGAGCACCCCACCTGGCTGCTACAAGAAGCTGATTGAATACTGTAAGAATGAAGACCTGTGCTTCAAATATGTGAAGACCAGCAACATGGGCAAGTACGTCAATCTTCTTCGAGACCATCCAGAGAGTTACCACTTCTCTGTGTGGAAAAACTTCTTCAAGCACACTGACATTCACCCAGAAAACATCAACATTCTGGACGGTAATGCAGCTGACCGGCAGACTGAGAGTGACGTCTTTGAAAAGAAGATGAGGCTATAGATGGGATTGAGCTGTATGTTGAAGGCATCACCCCCAGTGGACACATTGCCTTCAATGAGCTGGCCTCCAGCTGTGACCATGCTGGACGTGAACACCATGCTGGCCAGGGCTAGGTTCTTCAATGGCGATCTCGCCAAGGTGCCCACCGTGGCCCTGATGGCAGGTGTGCGCACTCTTGTGGATGCTAAAGAGGTGATGATTCCCATCACAGGTGCTCACAGGGCGTTTGTACAGTCATCAAGGAAGGAGTGTGAACCATGTATGGACTGTGTCACATCTGCCTTCCAGCAGCATCCCCACAGCGTGACTGTGTGTGATGAGGATGCCACCCTGGAGCTGAAAGTGAAGACCATCAAGTATTTCAAAGGCTTAATGCTCATTCCTAACAAGTTGGTTGACCCCTGTGTATAGTATCGAAGAGGCAGAAGCAGAGAAAAGCCAGTTCTAAGAAACCGTGAAGTGATTGGCCTGTGCTAATTTTTGGGTCAGGTACCTCACTGGGATAGGCTGGTCCTTCTGGAAATTGTCTTAAGGAGGACAGAGTTGTGTTTCTCTGATCCACTTGGATTACTGCAAATGAGTGGACGAATATGCAGTGTGGAGCCTAGTCATGGAGTTTAGCTACAGGAGAGGTGACTTGTTTGTAACTAACTCTTAACCAGAAAAAATAGTTTTGGGGTTTTTAGCTTTGTTCAGCCTCTGATGCTGTTCACATGTACAAGCCACTGCTGTCAGGAATTTCTATCATTATGTGCAGATTTTCAGCTGGGGGGAGTAGGGGTTTGCTGTATTTGACAAAGTGTCTTTAGAGAGGCTTGAGAGCCCCTTTCCAGCAGGTCTGTCCCTTATTTGAGAATCACTGCTGCAGACTAAAGAACAAGCTCTGGGTGTCCAAAATGAGCATAAGGAGACAGTCTCTCTGGTCAGTAACAAGTGCCATGGAAAGAAAACTGCCCCCCCCCTTTTTTTTTTCTCAATTGGCCTTCCCATGAACTCTGAGGACTCCTTGGGGGAGGATTTGGGAGGGTGGGGCTAAAGAGAAGGCTTTGCCGATAAACTCATAACCTCTAGGGACCCAGCAGTGTCAAACTCCTCTCCCTCAGGGACCCTCCAACACCAGGAGGAAGGTGGAAACCCTTTTCCCACCAGAGCCCTGTGTTTTTGTTCCAAGGTCTCACTGTGGCTCCCCTTTTACACACTCATTAAAAGTAGACAGTCTACTGGGGCAGTGGGCACTGGTACAGTTGCAGTACGTTGTTCAGCCAGGGTGATGGGGGCTGGGACCAGCAGCTCACTTAGTTTAGTCGCAACACGTGAGTGACGTGTTCTGCTTCCCTAGGAGATGAGTGTCAAGACAACATGCAAATGCTTCTAAAGTTGCCTTTCCTCAAATAAAATACCCTGCCCTTCTAACCCTCTCACATTCGTGTGGCATGCTCTGATGTTTCCAGAACATCAGGAAATACAACCCTCTCGTCCCTTTATCCTTCATCCCTGTTCACAAAGTGAATCTATTTCTCTGCCTTCTTTTACTTTCTTAAGGCTCCTCCTTCCTGTTTCAAGTGGCTGCTGCTGCTGTTTCTGGTGAAGATCTTTCAGAGCCTGGCTGTTACCTTTACCTCTTCTTTTCTTTTAAAGATTTTTATTTATTTTTAGAGAGAGGGCAGGGGAAGGAGAAAGAGGAGAGAAATGTCAATGTGTGGTTGCCTCTCATGCGCCCCCTACTGGGGACCTAGCCCACAACCCTGGCTTGTGCCCTGACTGGAAATTGAACCAGCGACACTTTGGTTCACAGTCCAGTGCTCAGTCCACTGAGCCACACCAGCCAGGGCTGCCTTGAGCTTTTATACGTGGTTGTGCTGTCAGTCTGTTTTAAGTTCATAGATTAGTGGGCTTGTTTACAGTGTGATATTTTCTGTTAAATAACAACAAACAAAAAAACTTTACGACCCTGCCTAGGTGGCTCATTTGGTTGGAGCATTCTCCTAGCACATCAAGGTTATGGGTTCGATCCCTGGTCAGGGCACATATAAGAATCAACTAAAAGATGCATATAATAAGTGAGGCAACAAATTGATGTTTCCCCCCCAAAAAAATCAATAAATAAAAAATGTGAAAACCCATTATATTAGTTTCAGGTGTACAACATGATTCAAAATTTGTACTTACTACAAAGTATCACCACCATAAGTCCAGTTAACATCCATCACCACACAACATTACACATTTATGTGTGTGATAAGAATTTTTAAGACCAACTCTCACCAACTTTTGAACATACAGTACTGCATTCTTAACTATAGTTGCCGTGCTCTACATTACATGTCCAGGGTTTCTTTATTTCATAACTGGAATCTTGTGTCTGACCACCTCACCCATTCCTCCCACCTCCGTACCCCACAGTGAAAAGCTGCTGTTAATAAGAGACAGAAAATAAGGCACAGAGTGTGTTCACAACTAAAAATGTTAAATAAGGAATAGAAGCAAATCCGAAATCTCTGTGGATGAACATAGATAATATATTTTTGTTATAATTTTAGGTACTTTGCAGGTTTTTAAAAAAATTTATTGATTGATTGGAGAGAGAGAGAGGCACCGACTTGTTGTTCCAGTTAGTTATGCATTTATTGTTGTTTCTTGTATGTGCCCTGACCTGGGTATCAAACCTGCAACCTTGGTGTATCAGGATGGTGCTCTCACCAACTGAGCTACCCTGCCAGATCAGTCCTTCGCAGTTTTTCTACAACTGATAATCAAGATAAAAAAAAAAAAAAGATGTAAACCTTTGTGCTAGGTAGTGTGCTACCCAAAGAGAATACTCTGAAAAGTCTAACATACTGATTTATGGATGGTCCATGTGCCTTTTATTTTGAAATTTATAATTTATGTGGTGCTAATGCATTTGCCTCTTTCTTCCACCAGGGGGCAGACCGGGCCGTTCCTGTCCTGATCATTGGCATCCTAGTGTTCCTGCCAGGGTTTTACCACCTGCGCATCGCCTACTATGCATCCAAAGGCTACCGGGGTTACTCCTACGATGACATTCCGGATTTTGATGACTGAGCTCGGCTTTAAGATACTGAGCAGAAACTGTGGCTAAAGACTAAGGAATTCTGCAGTTTGCAGATGTTTAACAAAACCATAGCCAGTTTTTATGGGTCCATCCTAAAGACTTAACTGAGCTTACAGTTAGCTAATTAGGGCATGCTCTATCTTTCATCTCCTGGCCCTGACAAAAAAGCTGACAGGTTTATCCACAGGATCCTGTCTGTACCATGGGAGAATAGCAATGTTAATTGTATGGAAAAACAGGAGGTTATTCCACAGTAGAAAGTGTTATTGCCACCACTCTTCTTGGAGTTCAGCATTTCTTTTAAATAGCCTTTATTGTCAGTTTGTTCTTGTGGCACATGGAAGAAAGCAATATGTCAAACTTCTCACTACTAAGTAGTTTATTTTTAAAATACTTAAGTATCTCATCCCCTATGCTATAACTTCACGTTCTAATGGAAGACCTTGGCAAAATCAAATATTAGTATGGATGCATCTGTAATATTAAGAGCAATCGGGAATCTTCTTAAACTACCGAGCAAGTTTTCAAGATGTAAAGACTTCCCCTGTTCACCACTCCGTGGCCAGCTCTGGTCTGGTTCACCAATATGTTAGGCACCATGTAATCTGAGTAATTCTATCCTTTACAGATGTTCTGCATATCATGCCTTTAAGGACTGGACTTGCAGCTGTTTTCTAAGGAAAAAGGTAGATAAGTGGATGTTACGTAGAGTTTATAACCCCTAACATAATACAATGTTAGCACCTTGTATTATGATGTCATTCTGCTGAAGATTGCAAGGTTTGGCCTGGATCCTTAGGGGACATCATTGCCTTAGTTTGATTCTGTTACCTAGATTGCAAAAAGGGACTTATGTTCAAAAGAAATTAAAATGTCAAAATCTAAATTCTAAACTTAAATGAGTTAACTTCAAACATATTTTAGAAAAAGTTTAAATGATTGTATGATATCCCAGAGGCCAACACCCAGGACTACTTTCATTTTTAGGTGACTGGCATTGTAGGCCAGACTGCTTTCAGCCATGCTTCTACTCTGGGTTGTGGGTTGCTCCACCAGAAGCCTGGAAGGGCTATTAGCTGCTGTTTAGAGGGCTGTGGGTAGAGTAAGTTTACCGGGAAAGATGAGTTCATCTTTGGATGTGTTAAGTTTTTTTTTTCTTAGGTTGTATTTATTTATTTTTAGAGAAGAGAAGGAAAGAGGAAAAGAAACATCAATGTGTGGTTGCCTCTTGCACACCCCCTTCTGGGGACCTGGCCCACAACTCAGGCATGTACCCTGACTCGGGATTGAACCAGTGACCCTTCAGTTCACAGGCCCGTGCTCAGTCCACTGAGTTACACCAGCCAGGGCAAGGATATGTTCAGTTTTAGATGTCTGCTCAAAATCCAAGTGGAGCCGTTGACTAGGCAATGGCAATGTACAAGTTTGGAGTTTCGGAAGGGAGTCTAAGCTGGAAGTAGAAATTTGGGAGTCGGTGTTGAGATATCTAAGAACCATGAGGCTGGATGAGATCTCCCACAGAGTGAGTGCACATGGGTAAAAGACACTCGGACTCAGGAAATGAGGGACAAAAGAAAGGGACCTGAAGCAGCCTCCAAGGTTAGGAATGTTTGTTAATGGGGGACCCGGCAGACTAATGAAAGTCCTTGGGCCTTGGCAGTGAATGTGAGGAAATATTTAAAGCTTTATTCTGGGCAGTGTTTGCAAAGCAAAGCTCAGGCCAGAAGGTTTTAGCCAAACCAGATTACTTGGTCCTGTTCATAAGGGTAATCTTGCCCATGGTAAGGGGGTAGGGGGAAGACACACAAGGGTACACAGTGAAAAGTAGACATTTGGTTGGTGTGAGTAAGCGTTTGCTCCCCCAGCCCATTCCCCAAGGCTCTCTAAGTTTCTTTTTTTTTTTTTAAATTTTTAATTAATTTTATTTAGTTATTTTTCAAGTACAGTTTTTTGTCTATTTCTCCCATCCCAGCCTCCCCGCCCCTTGCTGCCACCTCCCTCCCATTTCCACCCCCCTTAGTTCTCGTCCCTGTGTCCTTTCTATTTGTTCCTCCAAATCCCTTCTAAGTTTCTTGTATACCCTTCTACCCTTCCAGAAATGTTCTAAGTGTGTGTGTATGTATCCTTAAAAAAAAAAAAAACTTGGGCTCCCATTGTATAGTTTTATAATTTTTTTTCTCCCTTTTCTGTTTTGTATAACTTTCCATACCCACAGAGATCTGCCACATTTTCAACATGTAAATTACAAGTACAGTTTTTCATGCCGTGCAGGTAGTCACTGGGTCCTAAGAGCAAAGATCATAAGAGCCAGGTGCCTAGAGCAGGAATTCTCTCTTGGATGTCCCCTGGGGAACTGCCCTTGCTGTTCTGTTTGAACATTCAGGCTCATTCTCATTGCATTCGGGATTGTTACGGGAGTATTGTTTATTAAGTCAAAATAAGAATCCCTGTAACTAGGCATTGACAAGCAGTTGCATATTCCAGTGCTTTATAGAAAATATCCAAACCTGGGTAATAATAGTGAATGTTCCTTTAACTCTTTGCCCCATTTTATGCCAAGCACTTTCATTATTGTATGCTATTTTATTTTATTCCTTGTGAAAACCCCAAGTTGGTTAAGATTCTTAGGTAATAGGTTGGATATTTGCAATTGAAATTTAGGAAAAGCCTGAATTGACTCTTACTAGGTATGAAAGCCAAATGCCTTTAGGGCCGGGTAGGTAAAGAAGGTGGGGGGGGGGGGGGGCGGGACATGGACTGTAGCAGTAGGGATGAGTGTATGTTCTATTTAACAGTAGCTTCCTCTCCTGCCCTCTAACCCTGGCCTTTGTAGTGTTGGTCAAATTACATGCCCTAGCCTTGTGAGGATTTTCTTATGTGCAATGACTATTACGCCACTCAAGTCCAAAAGTCCTCCCAAGTTACATCAGCTGTTCTATGTGCAATGGCAAGTCCACACTCGTTGCTTCTGGGTGAACCTCACCAGATCATGTGCCAGAAGTATATTGACTGCTTCCTTTCTACCAGGAATCGTCAGGTGCCAAAGGTAAACAGGAAAAGATAGGGTTCAGTTAGTGAGGAGCAAAGTTTGCAAACCAGTGGCCACAGATGTTGGCCTGCATTTTGTTTTTAAAAAGTGGGAAGGTTCATATGACCTTGATTTTTGGCTTTTCTTTGTTCCTGAGGGGCTATCCCCAGCTGGAGCCAGGTGGTAAAGCAGCTTTAGCTGGGCAGAATTCTCTATTTCACTATGGTCGCCACCATTGCTTATTTACTTTTATACCCAACCTGCTAATTTTCTTGGTAAGGACAAAGAGTGTCCGATGGGCCCACAGAGTCCAGCACAGTGCTGGTGGTCACTTAGGTCACTATTGAATGAAGAACCAAAGCAGGGTACATTTCCACCCTGGGACACTTCCTTTGGGACATCAACAGATGGGTTGGTACTGTTTGATTCAGACTTGCCTGATGGCTTTCTGTCACCTGCCCGGCAGTCCAGCTACTCTTTAGAGTTGGTGCTACCCAGTGAGTCAAGTTCAGTGGACCCAGTTCATGACCACCTGGGAGTCCCCTCCTCTGAGATCCTGTAATGTCCCTGCTAGCTGGAACAGAAGGACCTGTTACTGGTGTGCCGAGGGCAGCTGCTAGAGGGACAATCATAGCCTTGACTTTCTGCTGGCCTTCAAAGACTCATAAACCAAATCAAGCTGCCCTAGTTACCTTGCTCTGTCACCTAAATTCCTATCCTGAGGCTTCTCTCCTAGATTCAGTCCCACAGATTCCTGACCTCACAGGTGTGTGGTTCAATCGGGGGTTTAGTGCAGTGGCGGGAAGGCACAGACTACGTCGTATTAGCTATGAGGTATGAAGCAAATTACCTCTGGAGCCTCAGGTATCACAGAGTGGGATACACTTCACAGGATAAGTGAGGATTAAAACAACTCGGGAGGGTGCTTTACTGACACAGTAAGCAACCACTCAATGGAAACTGCTCTTTGAGAAAGTGAAGGTCACACTTTGACCTCAAGGAGTAGTGCCTGGAGTGAAGCTTAGGAGGAGGGGGGAGCCCATCAGTTATTCCAGAGGCCGAGCTGAGGAACCTGCTATTCCCTGGTGAAACTGCCCCAGAGTTAGAGGCCCGAACCAGCGAGGCAGTCAGCCCCAGCTGAGGCAAGGCTCCCGTCCAGGACAGAACCACCTGCCGAAAGGTGTGAGGAGCTCGCCAGCCCCTGGACTTCCTCCTCCACTGTGCAACTGGGCCGGGGAGCTGTGCGCTCCAGTCCTCTGGAACAAGAGGGGATCAGGGAGAACCAAAGCACTCCCTTGTACCCAACACATGGGCCACAGAGGCCCCTGCCCCAGGAGACCCTGCAAGGGAAGCCCGTGAAGATGGGGCAATGCAGCTGGACCTCCCTCAAACCAGCTCTCCCTGGACCTTGTTCTTCCCTCTCTGTTCTCCTTTTTTTTGTACTTCCTCTCCTCAGTCTTTCCCCCTTGCTTTTCAAAGCGTGGTCTATGGAGCAGCAGCATCGCCACCACCTGGGAACTCATTTAGAATCACAGAATCCTGGGCCAGCTCTGCTCAGTCAGAACCTGCACGTGAACAAAACCTCTGGAAAGTGGTCCATGGCATGTCAATGTCTGAGAAGCCCTGGTCTGCAGTGCCCTGCACTGCCTAGTCCGTTTCCTCACTCTGAGACTGGACCTCCTGGCAATCCCAGCGGCCAGGGGTGCAAGGCACCCAGAAGGTCCCAGGAAGGTATGGCCCCTCCTCCATCCACCTGTACTGTCCAGCTAAAGGAGTAACTCTTGGGGGCTTGAGGAAGTGTCACAGAAATGGAAAGGAAACAAAGCAGGGAGCCTCATGAAGATGTGTTTTGTGAGCAGTGAGAAATCAAAACAGAGGCCGCATTGGCGGCAAAGGCCCATAGCCAGACTGGAAGCACACTTCGGTGTTCTGAAGGCCAGGGGAAGGGGACAATGTGTCATTTATGACCCAGGGAAAGGCAGGGTATCTTTCTTCTTGGTGTCTGTGCGAGGCAGGCCTGGTGCTCAGGAGTTTAGCTCGCACACTGGAGGTGCTGGCCTCCCTCCCTGACTCTGCTGCCTCCCTTTGCTCGGTCCTCTCACTAACTTTAGAGGAGCCAGTTAGAAAATACCTCAGTCTGAAGGATCAAGTTTCTTGGCCAAGGTGCTAATCCTTCAAGAGGGTTTTCTATGGGATTAATACCTGCAGAGCTGACACGGAGACCACCACCCACATGGCCAATATCCCCCTACAACTGAAAAGATGACAGCAACAGAATCACCAACAGCTTAGGAGGGTGTGTGGCCTGGCAGAGTTGAGAAAACGACCTGCACCGGGTGAGAGGAGTGGCCGTGATGAGCTGAACTAAGTCCAATCACTCTGGACATAACCACAGGATGCTGTCCCTGGAGCTGTGATCTGAACCTTTTAAGACCTACTGACAAAGGACTTGCTGAGAGTTCAAGGTTCCCCTTCTTGAGGATGTCAGAAAATGCCAAGTGTTTTCCCCATAGAATGGTAAATGAAACCACAGTGAGACCAGAGCAGCCGTGGACTGATGCCGGCCCCAGATCAAGGACTCCTGCTCGTTCTGAACACTGGCTGGAAGGAAATCTACTGTGTTTTGCTCGCAGGTGTTTGCACCCCACCTCCAGTGAGGGCCACCAGGGAGTTTCCCCTCTCCTTTGGTCTTATCTCGTCCATTGGCAATAAAAGGAGTTCATTTGTCAAAGGACAAGAGATTAGGATTTTGCAATCTAGGAAAACAAAGCAGGTGCAAAGTCTATAAAGTCACATAGGGTGTTGGCAGTGGGGACCCACATTTACTTACAAAGGCCCAGGGCACCGGAACTTGGTAC